GCCCCCCCCCCCGGGGCACTCACGCTATCCCTGCTTGCCTCCCAGGTGTGGCCGGCCCTTTCTTGTGCCCGGATCAGGACCAGGGCCGGGACAAGATGCCTTACTCGGTGGAAACCCCCTATGGCTTCCTGCTGGACCTGGACTTCCTCAAGTACGTGGACGACATCGAGAGAGGCCAGACCCTCCGGAAGCTTCCCCTCCCCCGCAAAGGGAAGGGCTCCAAGCCGGCCCAGAGCTTCCCCCGCAGCCAAATGGGGGGCTGGGCCTCCACCGAGTCCCTGTCCTCCTCTGCCAGCGAGGATGGGAAGCTGGCCTTCTCCCCGCGGCCCCGAACGGCATCCTACGGAACCAAGGAGCACGCCGGCAAAGACGGCTGCTCCTTCCCGACGTCTCCTCCGCCGGCCAGCCGGCTTCTCCCTCCAGCTTCCCCCAATTCGGTGGGTAGAGGCAGCCGGGTGGAGACCACCTTGCTGGAGACCAGCAGGAGGCTGGAGGAGGCACAGCTGGTGACCGGCGAAGGGCCTGCAGCGCCCAAGAGGACGGGCGGCCCTTCGAAAAACAGCACGTGTCCCCCCAACTCTGCGTCCTCTCCGTCCGGGGAGGGCCAAGCTGAGCCTGTGAAGACCAGCCCCCCTAATTCAGGAAGGAGCACCCCGGTTCCGGCCGCGAGCCCCGCACACCTCCATCACGTCCGCGAGCAGATGGCCGCTGCTCTCAAGCAGCTGAAGGAGCTGGAGGAGCAGGTGAAGATGATCCCCCTCCTGGAGGAGCAGATCTGCCGGCTGAAGCAGGAGAAGGAGCAGCTGGTGGCGGCTGGCTTGGGGGAGAAGGGGGAGGCCGAAGCTGAGGAGTCGGGGGTCTTCTGCTTCCCCCCAAGACAAGGCCTCAAAGATGGGCCTGCTTGTCCGGACCCAGGAGGGCCCCAGCCTGAGAGGGAGGGAGAGGCGACCAAAGGAAGGACAAGTAAGATTGCAGAGCTGAAGAAACTGACCGAGCGGCTGACCGGGCCAGAGAGGGCCGGGAAGAGCAGAGGAGCGGGCCGGCCCTCAAGAGTGGAGCAGCCCGGCCAGAGGTCCATCGGAGTCGGAGAGGAGGCGGACATGAGTGAAGTGGTTTGCTACTACCGGAGCCAAAGACCCTGCCGGGAAGTGGCTGTTGGGTGCGAGAGGGAGACGTGCGACGCAGAGGTGTGGGTGATGGAGTCCTTCCTTGGGGTTTCGTCGGCTGCAGAGGAAGAGATGCAGCTGGTGCAGCAGAGAGTCCAGCACCAGCAGGCCATCATCACCATGCTGGAGGGGCACCTCAAGGAGGCCACCCAGGAACTGGAGGAGTTGAGGGTGGAGGTTTGCTCCCGTAGGCCGGGCAGCCTGGTCAGCCAAGCTACCTCGGCCTGCCCGGAGATGGCTGAAGCCTGCGTGGAGGCCGTGACGCCCACCCGGTGCCAGGCTGTGGGCAGCCACGTCGAAACGGTGGAGGCTGGCGTCCAGAGCTTTCTGCAAACGTCCCACGTAGGAGTCGGTTGCAACTTGCAAGGAGAACTGAACGGAGAAGCAAAGGCCACCGAGGAGGACTCGCCACGGAAAGCATCCCCGATCCCCCTGGGGACGGAGCACGGGGGCCACAAAGGGCACCTCAGATCCACAGTGGCAACGCCCGATGCCGGCACAGCTGAGGAGGGGTCCGGCTCAGAAGATGCCAGGCAGTCCACCAGTGGCAAGGAAGGGACCGCACAGGATGAACCAGATACTGGCCGAGCTTTGCCCCTGGGGATGGGTGGCAAGGGCAGCCGTGAGCCCAACGGGGCAGAGGGGGCCTCGGGGACTGGTGAGTGCCACCGTCACATGCAGCGCACAAGGTCCAAGCTGAAGCCCCCAAACACAGCTGAACGCCCCCCGTGTAGCTTGAAAGGTCTCCTCTACATTTTCTTCCTGCCCCTGAAAAGGTAGGGAAGTTTTCCTCCCCACACAGAGATCACACACACACACACACACACACACACACACACACAGCAGGCCCCTTTGCACAAAGGCCACTCCCTCTTTCCCCTTTCTTTGCTTGTGGGTACCTTCCTTCCCCCGCTTTCATTCCCCAGAATGAATTCACACAATGCCGAGCCCCCCCCCCCCCCCCCCCCATGAAATGGGGTCCCCCCCCCCCCTGCCCCATGGTTCCCCCCCTCCCATCTCCTTGCCCGGGACTTCCTCTGCTTCCCACTTAATGACCCGCACACCTTGGGTTACGACCCCCACACCAGGACTGCCTGGATTACTGTCACCAAAGCAATCAAGTCACGTGAAGTTAAAGACTGCTTCACAACGGCAACCCCGGTCGTCCCCGGTGCAGTTGTCAATGAAGGACTACCAGGGTTCCCCGAAAATAAGACCCAACTGGAAAATAGGCCCTCGTGTAATTTTTTCAGGCTGCTCATTGGTTGATAATATAAGCCCTACCCCCAAAAAACAAGTCCTGATTAAGATGGTCAGCCAGCCGCATTTCCTTGAAAAAATAAAGACCTACTCAAAAAATAAGACCTAACGTGTCTTTGAGAGCAAAAAATAATATAAGACCCAGTCTTATTTTGGGGGGAACATGCGGTATCTGTAAAGGCAGGGTGTCAATCTAGTAATGACAAGCATTGGGATGGGGGGGGTCCTCTCCTCCCCCATCCTGCACTCACCCACCCCTCCCCTTCCTCCGCAGGTGCTCTGAAGTCCATAATGAAGCGGCTGGACAGCCCGGCCAAGGCAGAGCCGGGGGTCAGTGGGAAGAAGACCCTCCAGTTTGTGGGCCTCCTGAATGGCGAGTACGGACCTCTCCTCTCCTTTGGTGGGAGAAAAAAATGGAGGGGTGGACCAATCACAGGGCCCCACACAGCCTGGGGGGAGGGGGAGGACGGGGCTGATGGTCCCCTTGCTCGATGTGGATCTAGCCTCCATGTCCAGAGGCAGTCTTCCCCCCCACACACACCAAACACCAGCACTTGCCGACCCCTGATCTGGAGTACATGCTCGGGTCCTTTAGAGCAGTGATCCCCAACCTTTTTTATGCCGCGGCCCGGAAAATGCTTTCTACCCGGAAAAGCTCACCGGAAGCACTTTTTCATCAAAAAAAGATGGCGGCGCCCAGCAAACCAGCGGCCCAGTAGGACTTGTTCCACGGACCGGGACCGGTCCACGGACCGGTGGTTGGGGACCCCTGCTTTAGAGAGGAGTGGGAGGCACCCGAGAGGCAGGGCTGGATAGAACCAGGCCTAGGAAGAGACCCCTGACCCATTCAGGAGCAGCTGGCAAGAGGAGAGGGCTTTGGGCTTCCCCTGCCTTGCTTGCTGGTGGGATTCGATTGAGGGTCTTGGTAAGATGGCAGAGGGGTGGACAAGAGGGGTTGGGAGGGCAGCTGCGAGCCTGGGGTCACATCTGGGACCCTGGCCCTCCTCTGACGCCCTCTCTCATGGCAGGTATGAGAGCACCTCTAGTGAGGAGGAGGAGGAGGAGGAGGAAGAGGACAAGGAAGAAGAGGAAGAGGAAGAGGAGGAGGAGACCCCAGGCGTGGGATCTGCCCACAGCTCCTTCAACGAGACCGTTGGCGGCTTGGAGGGCGATGCTGCTGCCAGCCCGGATGTCAGCGACAGCAGCGAGGAGGAGGAGGAGGAGGAAGGCAGCCCGGGCACAGAGGAGGCACCACCAGGGCACCCACAGCTGAGCCCTGACCCTGAAGATGCGGCCGGACAGGGAGGAGCAACTCCCAAGGTCAAAGAGAGGTAAGAGCGGTGAAGGACCCCAGGCCCTCAAACCACATGCAGGTTCCCTGCCTAGGCAGGGGGTTGGACTCAGGGGTGGGATTCAAAAATCCCAGCAACTGATTCGCTGCTCGGTTGCTGGGTGGGCGTGGCCTACCAGAACTTCCGGGAGGGCCGTTTTTTGCCTTCCCCGGAGTCCGGAGGCTTCCCTCGGGCCTCTGGGAGGGCGAAAATGGCCTCCCGGACTCCGGAGGCCCTCCGGAAGCCAGAAACAGGCCCATTTCCGGAACTTCTGGAAAGGCCGTTTTTCTCCCTCCCGGAGCCTCCTGCACTTCCCTGGGGTCACATGGAGACTCCTGGGAGGGGTGGGGAGGGGTGGGGCTGGGTGGGCGGAGCCAGCCAGTCAGTTCAACTACCGATTCAGCGAACCAGATGTCAATTTAACATCCGGTTCAAGCGAACCAGTCCAAACCAGCTGAATCCCATCCCCTGGTTGGACTAGAAGACCTCCAAGTTCCCTTCCAACTCTGTGGTTCTAAGATTCTAAGGCCTCTTCCGGACCTTCCTTGCAGGGAATGGTCTGGATTTTCCCACCCTCACCAACTCCAGGCCTGTTCTTATTCCAGACTCAGTTCCTCCTTTCTGTAAATGGGTGCATCCAACATCAGGGGATGCCACCGAGGCTCGAATCGTAAAAGCAGCCCGCATTATGTCCTCTCCTCCCTCAATCAAGCTGTGCTTGGCTGGGGTGCTTCATGCCTCAGCCAGCTGGCTGGGGAATTCTGGGAGTTGAACTCCCTCACCCACCCAAGAGGGAAAAATATTGGACTGGATGAGGGAAAAGTCGCTTCCAACCCTTTTGGTCTGAAGGACTTCCTGGAAAAACGGAAGCAGGCCCTGCTGTGGATCTTCAGTAATCTCAGCTAGAATCAGGAGAAACTTTAAAATCTTCAATAATCTGAGCTAGGATCCAGGGAAACTTTAAAATGTAAAATAACTTGAACTAAAACCCCGAGAAACCTTAAAATCTTCAATAACCTGAACTGGAATCTGGATATTTTAAAATCTAAAAAATAACCTGTACTAAAATCTGGAGAAATTTTAAAATCTTAAATAAATAGAACTAAAATCTGGAGAAACATTAAAGTCTAAAATAACTTGAACTAAAATCTGGGGAAACTTTAAAATCTAAAATAATTTGAATTAAAATCTGAGGAACGTTTAAAATAACTTTTAACTAAAATAAAAATAAATTTTAAACATCTAAACTAACCTAAACTGAAATCAGGACAAAATTTAAAAATCCAAAATAACTTGAACTAAAATCTGGACAAACTTTAAAATCTAGGATCCAGAGAGCACGTCATACCAGCCAATGACAAACCTCAGCATCCCTCGAAAGCGGAAGCGGAGGAGCCTGGCTTTGGGGAGATCAAAAAAGAGGGGAGGGGTCCTGGTTTCCCCCCCCCCCCCAAAAAAAAAGCAAGAGGCATTCAGGGGCGTTCAGAGACCTGGCAGAGAGGGGTCCAAATCAGAGCCATTAAACCAGAAATGGCCACTACTACTGGTTTTGCAAGTCCATCTTGAGGGGCCGGTCCGTTTTCTTGGCCGGTTGCGTTGTGTGCCCCGCAAAGGGTCCCTCAGCCAGCTGACCCCAATCGGCCTCTCCGGCAGGTTTGAGCTGAGCCCGTGGATGAGAGAAGCCTGCTTGGTGGTGAGGGCCCACCTGGGCCATGGCAGAGGGGCCCCGAAGAGCAAAGAGCTGGTGAGTAGCCCCAGGAAGCGGCCCTTGGGCTTGGGGGAGGCGGAAAGAGCCGGCAGGGTTTTCACTCCGTGCCTGGCAGAAGCCGCCCTGGGCCGGGGGGGGGGACCCCACATCCTTCCACAAAGGACCCAAAGTAATTCATCTGCTTTCCCACTTTGGGGGGGCAATTCGTGGTGGCCGTCTCAGGGCTGCTTTGTCCCCCAAACTGGCCGGCACAGGCTTGCCGGAGTTACGGGTTTTCCTCCCCGTCTCTGGGCGCAAAAGGGAGCCCCGGAACGGAAACACCTCCTGCGAGGCGGGACAGGCGAGGGGCGCGCATTGACCTCTGCTCCGCTTGGCGCCCAGCTTTCCAGCAGCAGCCTGGTCCTGCGGGAATGGTTCCGGGTGTCCAGCCAGAAGAGTTCCCGGGCCAGCAAGGTGGCCAAGTACCTGCAGGCCCTGGACGAGCTCTCCCCGGCACTCCTGGCGCACGTCCTCAACCTCTCCGACGGCAACGGGAACATGGCGCTCCACTACAGCGTCTCCCACTCCAACTTCGACATCGTCCGGCTCCTCCTCGACACAGGTGACCCGCCCAGCCAGCCACCCCGGGCAGGTGCCCCCTTTCTCAGGTCTGCCCTATAAGTGAGGCAGGTGGCTCACAGACAGGATCAGCCCCACCCTTCCAACTGGCCCCTGGAATAGAATAGAGCTGGAAGGGACCTTGGAGATCATCTAGCCCAACCCCCTTCTCAAGCAGGAGACCCTCGACCATTTCAGACATGTGACTGTCCAGTCTCTTCTTCAAAACCTCCAGTGATGAAGCGCCCACAGTATCTGGTGGCAAGCAGTTCCACTGGTTAATTGTCCTCCCTGTTGGAAGTTTCTCCTTAGTTCCAGGTTGCTTCTCCCCATGAGGAGTCTCCATTCTTTTTTGTCCTGCCTTCAGGTGCTTTGAGAATAGCTTCTCTTCTTCTTTGGGGCAGCCCCTCAAGTCCTGGAAGGCTGCTACCACGTCCCCCCTGCCAAACCCAAATCCCACAACCCTTCTTCATATGGTTTAGTCTCCAGGCCTTATCTTCTTAGTTGCTCTTCTCTGCACTTTTTCCAAAGTCTCAACCTCTTTTTTGTAACGTGGGGACCAAAACTGGACGCAGAATATTCCAGGTGTGGCCTTATGAAGGCTTTATAAAGCAGTGCAAATACTTCGTGTTGATTCTGTGCCTCTGTTTATACAACCCAGGACTGTGTTCGCTTTTGGGCTGCTGCCACCCACGGCTGGCTCGGGTTTAAGGGATCCTCCACTAGGACTCCAAGGTCCCTCTCGCAGTCCCTGTTTCTGAGCCAGTCCCTAAACAGACTGGAACGGATAAAGCCTCACTCTTTCCCCCGCCCCTCAAGAAAAGCCCCTTTCTACCAGTCTTACCTGACGATTCCCAGTTGCTTCTCAAAAAAAGTGCAGAGAAGAGCAACCAGGATGATGAGGGGACTGGAGGCTAAAACATACGAAGAACGGTTGCAGGAACTGGGCCTGGCTAGTCGAGGGAAGAGAAGGACCAGGGGAGACAGGAGAGCATCTTCCAATATTTGAGGAGGGGCTGCCACAGGGAGGAGGAAGGGGGTCAAGCTATTTTCCAAGGCACCTGAAGGCCAGACAAGGAAGAATGGGTGGAAATTGATCAGGGAGATATTCAAAATGAGAAATAAGGAGAAATTTTCCGACAGGAAGAACAATCAACGGATGGAACAGAAGTTGTGGGAGCTTCATCCCTGGAGGCTTTCAAGGGGAGATTGGACTGCCATTTGTCAGGGATGGCGTAGGATCTCCTGCTTGGGCAGGGGGTTGGACTAGATGACCTACAAGATCCCTTCCAACTCTGATTATCTGTAAAATCTTCCCCAATGCGGTGCCCATGGGCCACTGAAGACCAGAAAGGCAACTCAGGGTTGATGGGGGCTTCTCTCCCCTCATGTCCTCACCACCAATTTCCCCCCCCCCCCCCCCCCAAAAAAAATAAGGTGTCTGCAACGTCAACCACCAGAATAAAGCAGGCTACACGGCCCTCATGTTGGCTGCGCTGGCAACCATGGAGCGGCAGGACGACATGGCCGTAGTCCGGCGCCTCTTCGACCTGGGCAACGTCAACGCCAAGGCCAGTCAGGTAGGTTTCTCGGGGGGGGGGGGGAAGGCAGGCCCTCTCTGGGACCGGAGAGGAGTTCAATGGGAAGCAGGGCGCTCTGGGCATGGTCGGGAGCCCTCGGACAGCCCTTGTGCCCGTTTCCATTGGGGTTGCAGGCCGGGCAGACGGCGCTGATGCTGGCGGTCAGCCACGGGAGGCAAGAGATGGTGCAGGCCCTCCTGGCGTGCGGGGCAGACGCCAACCTGCAGGACGAGGAGGGCTCCACCGCGCTCATGTGCGCCTGTGAGCACGGCCGGGCGGAAACCGTGCGGCTGCTTCTGGCGCAGCCGGCCTGCGACACCTCCATCGCAGATCATGTAAGTCGCTCCCTCCGGCTGTCTCAAGCTGCTAGTCCTCAGTGTGGCAAACGTTCCCAAAGGAGGCTCACCCGAACCCAACTTTTCTCTTTGTAGATATTGTGGAATCGAACTTTTTTAAAAAAATATGTTTATTGATAGGTTTTTTTTCCTTTGTATACAACATGTGCTTAAAGAACCGTGTTCTGTTTGGGTCAATCCATTTCCATCTTAAGCTCCTATTCTCCATGTTGTTTTCTCCTCTCCATTTTCCCATTTTGGCATGAATTCCAAAGCTGAACTTTTGCAAAGATTAAAAAAAAATAAAGCAAAAATTCTGGGTTTCTTCTTCCTTTTAAAGTTCTGGGAACTTAAGAATTTGTCGTAGCTTTTCTCATTCAGCCCACTACCCACATTGCCCTGGTGCTATTTAATGCACCCCAATTCCAACCACAAACTCTTTAGGTGAAGGAACATCAATATCCTTGATTTACTTAGTGGCCCATTCGGAGCTACGCCCGGCCTCCCCGGGGGTGCTTACCACCTGTTTCTGAAGTTTCAGTGGCCATCACCACCGTCCCACGTGGCTGCGTTTTGGATGTTTGCAGCGTCCCAGCTCATGCGGCCACATCTTAATGCTTTTGCCAAACAAAATGGCGTTTCCAACGTTCAGCAAAACTGGTTCATGGCGAAGACTGGGTTTGCCTAACGGATCACAGTGGCTGCTTTATCTCCCGGCCGTGATTTAAATCCACTACTAGGCCATCTCACAAGGCGAGGAGGAAGTGAAAATCACCTCAAAGCCATTAAAACTTTGGGCGTTCCTCATTCGAATCTCAAGGAGCAGGGCCAGCGTTTCCAGCCACCCTCCATTCCAGACAGACCTTTTTGCAAAGGTTCCTTTATATGGATAGTAACTGGCACATCTGTGAAATCCCGAATCTGAAAGTTTCAGGCTTCCTTGCAAAAGTCAAAACTACAAATCCATTCCCCACCCACCCACCCCCCTTAGCTATCACCACACCACATGGTCCAATCCCCATCCGTCCTAAAGTGAGATCCCCATTTCATTATGTGCCCCACTCCGTGACCTTGAACCAAACAAAAGAATTTTATTTCGTCTAACTAGATGTACTCCAATGAATTCCCCCCCCTCCCACTTTCTCAGGCTCCATTATGGCAGCGTGGAAGCATCGAATCTCAATGTGGCTTCCAAAGGTGACAAGCAGAATCGAGAGAAGTTAAAAAATGTTCAGCATTTTCATAAAAATAGCTAACAAGACTCCTGATTATTATTATTTTTTATTTTTATTTTGGAAACACAGGGCTGCCTCTTGAGGCCCAGACACCACTCGTAACTTTCCTACCTCTCTCTTATAGGACGGCAACGACGCTGTGGCCATAGCCTTGGAGGCCGGACACGACAACCTCGCGGCTCTGATATCTGCCCACCTCACACAGTCCGCAGACAGGTGAGCGCACCCCCTTGGCAGAGGTCCAGGTGCCCTCACCAACTAGCCCTTAGTTTTTCTGGACTGAAGACTGGTCACCTGTTAGATCCCAAAGGGGCATTTTTTTTCAAGAGGCAACTGGACTTTCTTGTTTTTGCTTTGAAGACATTTCACTTCTCCTCCAAGAAGCTTCTTCAGCTCCAACAGGATAGTGGGGAAGGGAAGGATTTCTATTCCTTGCAGACAAAGCTGGTCATCTGCATCCTTTTAGGGGGTCGTTGAGGCCACTTGGAGGTTTATCTGTGTCCTCGGGGTCGCCGGGGTGGTGCAAAAGGCTCCTGTAGGCTGGCACCCCCCCCCCCCCCCCCATTTTTGTAGTCTGCAAGGTCTTCAAAAGAAAAAAAGAGAAAAGTCCAGTTGCCTCCTGAAAAAGCACCTCTGGAACAAACACGACCTGGACAGCTGAGAATCTCTGCAGACGTTTCACCTGTTAGATGTTAGCCTGTCGGTTTCAACCTGCGCAAGGAAACCAAGACCGAGTCCCACAACAGGCACCAAAAACACAGTTGCGGAGGCTGGGTCAGACGCTTTAGAGAATGTCAACTCCTGGCCTTCCCTCACTGAGCGGACCTTACGCTGAAAGAGGCTCTTCCCCCGTTGGCCAGACAGCCTGCAGACCAAATCAGAGCTCAGGAGGTGCCAGGAAAAGAAGTTACAAGAGGAAAAGAGGGGGGAGGCCTCTTCAGCCATTGGTTTTTGTCTCTGTTCACAGGACGGGAGCGTGACACTATCCGGCTGCAACCCCAGGCGGCTTTGGCCCTTGAACTGTCCCGCCTGCAGCTGGCTGGAAGGACCCGCAACCAAAGAGAAAGCGCATCATTCCAGGAAACGCTTCCTGCACCGCTATCAACCTCTCCGGGCACGTGCTCCGGCGAGCGCTTGGGATCCCTGTGGGGTGAAGCTCACCCTGGGGCCGGCTTCACTAATTCGGGCCGCCCACCTGGTCAACCTGACTGGGGCCTCAGTTCCACCAACAAGGGAAAAGCCATCAGGGAAAAGCAGTGACCCGGTTTTATCGTGCAAAATTCTTGCTCTGCGCACATGGAGAGAAGTTGGACAGTGGAGGCTGGTGCCCAAGGCCTCTTCCCCAAGCAAGCAAGGGGGGGGAAGGCATTCACCAGCCAAATCTCCAACTGTAATCCAAACTGGGTGGAGTGCTCCATGGGGACTAGAAACTTACCTATCCCAATTTTTATCTTGCTAGAATAAAATCCCGTAACATTTCATTCCTGTCTCGCGCTGTTCTGGCAGAGGGTCGAGTTAAAACTAGGGAGGACATTTCGGGCAATTTGTTCACAGGCCGTTTGGGGTACAATATTCATGTGGGTCTTGTTTGTAAAGAGGGCTCCGGACTCAATTGAGACAAGGAGCCCACCAAAGAAACAGAAATGGGACAGGTGGTCACAGGAGCAATTTCCAAATTAATGATTCAGTTCCAAAGATCTGGTGGCCATTGGTGCCCCAACACCTTGCAGTCACATGACCACGTTCTGGGGGCTCAGCAGCCACTCCACACCCTAAGTCGCATTAACAAGATAAGGGAGGTACTAATCACACTCTATAAAGCCTTAATAAGGCAACACCTGGAATATTCTGCATCCAGTTTTGCTCACCATGCTATAAAAGAGGTTGAGACTCTGGGAAGAGGGCAGAGAAGAGCAAACAGGATGATGAGGGGGACTGAAGGCTAAAACATACGATGAACGGTTGCAGGAACTGGGCCTGGCTAGTCCAGGGAAGAGAAGATCAGGGGAGACAGGATAGCAGCCTTCCAGTATTTGAGGGGCTGCCACGGAGAGGAGGAAGGGATCAAGCTATTTTCCAGGGCACCTGAAGGCCAGACAACGAATAAAGGATGGAAACCGACCAAGGAGAGATTCAACCTGGAAATAAGGAGGAATTTCCTGACACTGAGAGCAATCGACCAAAGAAACAGAAGTTGCCCTCTGAAGTTGTGGGAGCTCCATCCCTGGAGGCTTTCAAGAAGAGACTGGACTGCCATCTGTCAGGAATGGTGTAGGGTCTCCCGCTTGGGTGGGGGGTTGGACTAGATGACCTATAAGGTCCCTTCCAACTCTTGTTAACCTGACCTTCACATCTGAAGCATCCCACACCAGATAACCTCAATTTATGGCTTTTTTTTTTTTTTTTGCTGAAAACAAGCATGTACTTCGGTTTGGCAAAAATGCCCCATAGCAAACAACGGCTTCGCTTAACCACTGTGTCATTTAACCACGATTTGCTTAATGGTGGCCTTGTAAAATTGGGTCAGACACATGACTCATTTTATGAACATCACAACTCATGACCGCAAGGGCTCCAGGACTATCCGTATTCCACTCAGCTAGTGGCCATTACAATCCAGGATCCAGAGCATTCTGCCATTTCAAAGGGGGGCCCTGCCAGGTCAGATTTGCCCTACACCTTCCCCTAGGAGCGTGCCCCCCACCATAGCTGTTCCAATAAAGGCAGATCCTCTGAGGGAGACATTTATGATGTCATGTGTGTGACCCAGCTACAAACGGCCCCTTCTTTCCCCCACTGGAATCCTTCACAGGTGTGGACAGCTTTCAAGGCTGAAAACTAGAATTTCCGGGGAATGTCGGAGGCGGCAGCACTAATGGAACATGCCAAAAATTAGGAGCAAATGAGCAACATCCTTTCTGACCAAGAAAAATGTCATTAAAAGGTAGGGACGTGTTTGTGATTAGGTGCCTTCTGATAAAACGTCAGAAAAAAAAACACCAAAAACAATCCTTGGGGCCGTCTGAGCTCGCTGTGGTTTTCTTGCAAACACTTCATGATCCAAGCTAGGTAATATCAGTGCTAGGAGGGAGTGGGGTTTGCTCCCACCGCCCCCCACAAACTGGGCAAGACACAAGAATATAAACTGACAGTAAACCCCATTCCCTTCTAGCACTGATGTTACCTAGTTGGGTCATGAAACGTCTGCAAGGAAACCACAGCAAGCTCAGAGGGCACCAGGGACCCCTCAGGTCAACCCTGAGCTGCAAATATTCTCCTTTATTGGTACCAAATGACCCTTTTGTCACTTTAAAATTTGACCTAGTCTGAAAGGGCCAATCTTTTAATGAATCCTGCCCAGAGGAGGCCTGCTGGCCAGGAAATGTAGCAGCTGTCGAAAAAGAGGAAAACCCAGAAAGGAAAACCTCACACAAAGGATGACATTAGAAGGGCCAAGCTTGGAAGCCCAGGTGTGGCGACGACTCCATCAGCCAGGAAACAGCCCAGTTTGCTGTATCCTTTTGGAAAGCAGTTTCAACATCAAATGGGGCTCCTTCAAGCCATCCTCAGAAAGGGGGGGGGGGTGTCAAGTTTGAAAATGACTCCAAAGACCATCTCGTCTAACCCCATGCACTGGGCCACTTAAGTAGGGTCAGACTAGAGGTTGGACTGGATGACCTCCAGGGTCCCTTCCATTATCCCCTTTCTCCACCTCTTCCCCACTATAAAGGTGGGGCGTGGGGACTCCCACTCCCAGAAAAAGGGGGAGACGGGACTCTTTAAGTAAAGGGGAAAAAAATCCACCTGACACCGAGTCAAAAACCCAGATTTTCTTTTATTTCCACACATTTGCCGGCTCATCGCTGGTAGGCCGGGAAGGGAAGACCTGCGGGGGGGAAAGAGGGGGAGGGCAGTCAGACCCGACCTGGCTGACCCTGAACAGAGCCCCCCCCCCCCCCCACCCCCCCCCTTTTCCCCCCCCCCCCCCCGTGCCCCCCTCCCTCCCACCCCTCCCGCCCCTTCCCCTCTTAACCCCTCCCCCTTCCCCGCCCCACCTCTCCCCCTCTTACCCCTCCCTCCCCCGGCGGGCCTCAGCGCAGCCTTCGGGCCTCCCTCTCGGACTCGAGCAGCGTCAAGACGTCCCCCTCGCGGACGGGGCCCTTCACGTTGCGGATGATGGAGCGACTGGTGTCGTCCATGAACTCCACGCGCACCTGAGAGAGAGAGAGAGAGGGACGTCAGGTAGACTGCCGCTGCCGCCGCCTCCCCCACCCCAGCCCCAACCCCTCGGGCCCCGTGCTTCCCCACCCCCTCACCTGCGTGCACTGCCCCTGCGAGCCGGTCCGGCCGAGCACTTTGGTCACGCGGGCCAGCTTGATGGGCTGCACGCGGCTGGTGTCCATGACTGCACCTCCTCAGGCGGCGGAAGCGGAAGAAGATCCCCGCGCGAGGGCCGCGCCTTTATATAGCCTCGGCGGGAAGCCTCGCGAGAGGTCGGCTCTCTGCGCGAGGGGGGCTCTTTCCCGGCAGGCCCCGCGCGGGGAACTTCTTTTTTTTTTTTGCCTATGGCTTTCTTTGCAGAGGCTCGCTTGGCCCCGCCCCTCGCTGGGCTCCGGGCTGCCCTGCCACGCACGGCCGCAGGGGGCAGCAGAGAGAGAGGCAGAGAGCAGGCCCGGCTGGGAATCCCGCAGAGCAGGTCTTCCAACCTTGGCGAAGGTTGGGAATTCTGGGAGTTGAAGTCCACAAGTCTCAAAGGGGCGGCCAAGGTTGCAGAGCCCTGCCGCAGAGGGCTTATTTCCCGCGCCTGGGATTTTTAAAACTTTATTTTATTTTATTCTTTATTTCATTTTTATAGCCACTCCCCGGCCTCGAAGGCTTTTATTTCATTGATTCACTTTTTTTAAAAAAAATTTACAGGTAGTCCTCGACTTATGACCACAACGGAGCCCAGAAATTGATGTGGCGAAGTGAGGAATTTGTGAAGTGAGCGTTGTCCCATTTTGCAACCCTTTCTTGCTACCTCCGCTGCAGTTCTTAAATGAGGAACACCGTTATTACGTGCATCCGGGGACCCTGCCAAGATCCAGATTTTAATCATGTGCGGGGGGGCGGGGGGCTTTAACAGCTTTAAGTGGGAAAAATGGTCATGTCCCTTTTTTCCTGTGCAGTTGTAACTTCAAACAGTCACCAAATGAACTGTTGTAAGTCGAGGACTATCTTATTCATTTATTCCAGGGGTCTTCAAACTTGGCAGCTTTAAGACTTGTGGACTTCAACTCCCAGAATTCCTCCTCCAGTCATGTTAGATCAGGAATTCTGGGAGTCGAAGTCCACAAGTCTTACACTTTGCCAAGTTTGAAGACCCTTGATTTATTCCATTCATTCAGTTATTAGCCAACTTCTGAGAAATGACCGTAAGCCAAAGAATGCAAAATGAAAATTGGCATTGCTTCTATGTATTTGCATTTCTTGCAGGGAATTCTGGGAAGTGGAGTCCACCCATCTCACCATTGGGGAGGTTGAGAGTATGTTTGGATATATATTTTTAATAACAATTTTTTTAAAAAAAAAAAGAGAAAGAAAAACACCGGCATTAAAAAAAAAAACAATTTGTGCATTTTGCTTTCCTTCCTTTTCATGCTTCCCTCTCCCCCCCTCCTCCCAGCATGCACCGCGCGAAGCCCCGCTTCAGCTTCTTCCGCCCTTCTCCCCGGCGTGCCGCTTAGCCCCGTCCACCTAGGGGCGGGGCCTGGCGTCCCTCCTCCCGGCGTGCCCAGCGCAGGCAGCGCGCAACCTTGAAGCCAAGATGGCGTCGGCCACCGGTATCATCCGCCTTATCCGCAACTTTCTGGCCGGGGTAAGGGCGAGCGGGCGCGCCGGCTGGGCTCCCCAATTCCGCCTCCTCGGAAGGTCCGAGAAACGCCTGGCCGGGCCCGCCGGGCGTCTCCCCAACGACCCTGAGCGTGGGGGCGGGGCCTCGCGCCTTAACCCCGCCCTTTCCCCCACGCGAGGAATTCTGGGGTCTGTAGTTTCCGTGCGGCAAATGCCCTTCCAGGCTGGACCAATAAAGTAGTGGCCCCTTTTAGACTTCAACTCCCAGAATTCCTCAGTCAGTTTGGTGGATTCTAAGAGGCTGACTAAGGGATTCTGGGAGTTGAAGTCTACCTAACTTAAAAATGGCTGCCTTCGAAGAAACACGTACGGGGGTTGGATTAGATGACCCTTCCAACTCTGCTATTCTATTTTAGTCTAGTTTCTTCCATGCTAGCTGGGGAATTCTGGGAGTTGAAGTCCACAGTCTTAAGGAGAGGCACAAGTGTGTAGAAGGCCAAGTGTAACTATTTAAACATTTCTAAATGGTCCCAAAGGAGCTTTTTTTCCCCAAGAGACAACTGGACTTTCTGTTTTTTCTTTGAAGACGTTTTGCTTCTCCTCCAAGAAGCTTCTTCAGCTCTGATAGACACTTCTA